CCGCAGAGCCACAACCCCCAAAGCACCGGCAGGAAGCGACAAGAAAACCCACACCGTATTCTCTTGATAAAGGAAATACAAAGGAAACCCAAACAAAAGAAACCTCCTTGACATGACATCGTCCTGCGTCTTCTCCCGGCCCTGCCATTGAAAAGCAGGAAGGCGTACACAGGTGAACCTTTTAGTGTAATCGTAGCGTCGGGGGGTCCAACCAGGGCGTGCCGGCCCCCCCTCTGAGTGCATCCGAGCCAACCGACCAATCGAGACCTGAGACAGTGCAATACCGACCCCGCAGCCATAGTGTCGACCCGTATTTTGCGTTCCTACTTGGGGGAAAGGACCAAGCAGGTGGGAAATTCGAAACCTCATAGGGCGTAGAGGCGAGATGCCAACCCAGGAGGGAGGAAGGAAGAATTTAGAGTCCAGTCTGGCCAGAAGACAAAGCCCCAGCGCGAAAGGACGTGTTTTGCGTTACCCAAACGATGAAAGTTGAGTACCCAAGCCATATGAAGCCCCAAGAAAGTTAGGCGAGGGAAAGATCGTGAGGGGGTGTCTGGTGTTCTGGCCCCTAACCACCTTCCCGATTAGGAAGGCGAAAAGCGGGGTCAGGAAAGTAGCGGAAAGGAAGCTTGAACACTGTACTCGAGTACGGGTACTGTACGTGTACGGTAAGGTGCTCGGGTGCCGGTGCTGGTACCTATACTAGCACTCGTACTGTACGGTACTTGTACTAGTACAGTCAAACCTCGCTGTCCCGGAATTGGGTAATGTGTGTGCCTCGCTGTCCCGCACGAAATCCTTCGAATTCAAAAATAATAATTTTTGCACCAAAACTTGACCCGTTGACCCGGATTACTCCTTGTCCCGAGTAGATTCTTCAGATTTTGGCTGTCCAGGACAGTGGGGTGCGACTGTACTCATGCAGGCAAGCAAGACACAAGGGGCCGCTGCTCATGCCGCCTTAGAAACGGCCGGTGGCAAGGGAACGCGCCAGGCGTTCATTAGGGTGATTTACCAGCAGGAGGGCGTGTGAGAGATGGCTAAGCACGAGTACCGGTAGTGTACTCGTGGGCTCTTGGGGTGGGAATAGATATGTGAGTGCAGGACGCTTGAGCGGTGCGGTAGGCGAGGGGGGGCAGGTTTCTTCCTGTCCCCCGCACGGGGTTGGTTCTTGGGAAAACTGGGCATGCTAAATTATCAGCGTCCGCGGGAGGGAACTCAGGGAGGATTTCATGTGTAATTCTGTAGTGGATCCCTTCGCGAAGCCTCTGAGTTAAGGACTCTTAACCATCTTATTCCATTCACGGCATTGCGTTCGAAGCCAATGGCCGGGACAGTGTTGCTGAGGACCATCCAATGAAGATGAGCAACATCCTCAAATTCCAACGCCAACCGCAACAAACAACTTCCTGTATGACCTCAGGTGAAATCATATTACATTTTGAACCTTTTCAAGAGGGAGCAGTTTCCCATCCCAGAAATCCCGGATTACCGGTAAGCCGGCCACAATGGCAGGTCTTGTGTTGTGCGGAACCAATGGTAGGGGTGCTGGGGCTGTTTTTCGCTAAAGGGGGAGATCGATTTCTTGATCAGAGCGCAAGATGCCCACAGCTGCTTAACTTACGGGTACCTTATCCCACTTTTACTCCAGGATAACGACCGTACCTTGGGATGATGCTCGCGTAGTACTGTACGGCGTACTCGGGTACGTTTCTTGGTTGCGGTTCTCGCTCTCTCGCTCTTCTATCCCATTTGCAAAGCCAATACTATGCATGCAAGCGGTCGTGAGGCAAATAGCGTAGGGCGGGCAGACCGAAAATTACACTTCTTCCACTTCTCGCTGTTCGGTTGGGAGCCGTACGGTACAAGTACAGTACGAGTACTCGAGTATCGCTGCAAATTTTGAAGCAACACAGTAGGTTGGGTATGATGGCATGACATGGGTCGCACAGCATAACCTACAACTCTCGCCTATCCCTACAAGAGCGGAGCAACTGAGATTTTTTCCTTTGCCCAAAGATGTCTCTCAACGCCCCCAAACGACTGGCTTCCTCTGCCTAGTTGTTAGCACTTGTATCTCTGTTACCATTCCACCGCACAAGTCTTCCAAGCACACCGGTACCGGTACCCCAAACCCCACGACCCAACCTGATCCCCATCATCCTTCTAGGAGAGCAAAGCTCTTCCCCTCCTCCCCCCCTTTGGCCCTCCTAAACACCTTTGACTCCGCAACCACCACCACCACCCTTCGGTTCCGCCTTCTCGCAACCTATTTTCATACTCTGACGCGGAAGGCGAAAGAAAAGAAAAAGAAAAAAGCCTTCCTCCCTCCCCCGCCCGCGAGAGGACTTCAACGATTTTATCGTCACCATCTTCTCTCTCTCCTGTCGAGCGCGAGAGCGGATAAGGGGTAATTACAAATTATGGCCTCAAACAGTACACCTTCGCCTCTTCATCTTTCTACCCAGGAACTCAAGAACGCCGCTGCCGGAGTAGTATCGGAACAGGCATCGCTTCCTCGGCCTCTCAGGAGTTCGCAAAGCTTCAGGTTGGACGAGGGTTACAGTGGGGAGGAGACGCCCATTGTGTACGACGAAACGAGCGGTCAGGATTTACGAGCGGTTAGAGAGGGCGTGGACTTTAAGATTCCTCTTTGGATGGCGGGCTTGAATGATGCTCTGAGGGAAGGTATGCTGATTTTATCCGATCCCCTCGTCTCCTGGCCCGCCCATCACCTTTCTGTTTTTTTTTTTTGTTTCCAGAAATATTGTGTGAATGGCTGCCTATTACTTGTGTTTCGTTCCCTCCGCATCTCCTGCCGTGCCACTTCTGCCCCTGGTTACGTGATGGAAGCGTCCACTTCCATCCCTTTTCCTCTCTTGCTGCACCTTTTGTCAGAGCCTGGTGCTGTGTACTCGCTTTACCTGGTTCTAACAAGTGCGAACAGAATATGCCTACAAGCTCATACGCACCCTGCCCACTTCGCGTATCGCCTCACTGGTTGACCGTTTAGTTCCTATTCTCTATCTCGATTTCGTGCAGATGCTACCTCCTGAACTGTCGCTTCAAATCCTGTCGTACCTGCCCGTTCGCTCGCTCCTCAATGCGTCTTTGGCCTCCCGAACCTGGAGACGCTTTGCGCTCGAGCCCAGATTATGGAAGGATCTATACGAAGTGCAGGGCTGGAGATGCAATGATTCGGAAGTCCTGGGGCTCGAGAATCAACTGCGCGAGGAACCGGAAGACTACATGAGGCAGCAGACGGATGTGAAGAGGAAGGCTGAAGACCAGAAGGACGAGGAGAAGGATCTAAGGGATATTGCCAGGAGGAATTCCGAGCGATTCAGGACTAGCGCTGAGAGATCTGGTGTTGGGACATCTTCGGGCTCGAATTCTCCAGTTGCCATGGATACTGCTCATGAATGGCCGTCCCAGACAACCACCAGCACCGAGGTGGACATGAATAATATCACCCAGAGCACAGAAGGTCTGGACATGAGCTTCTATTCCAATGTATCCCACAATTCTGGGCTGAGACCAGGACGGGGTGCCTCCTTTACATCGGGCCCTACTGTCCCTGAGGGTGAAGAGATATTCTCGACTTGTCCGGCCGCACCCACAACTTCGATACCCCAGACAACCTATCAAGAACTTCCGCTTCCCGTTGAACCCACTCTGACTGTTCCCGGATATGGATCTCTCAGAATCAATTGGGCATTTCTCTTCAAGCATCGAAAGCGCCTTGAGGACAATTGGTTGCACAACCGATACTCCACTTTCCAAATTCCGCATCCCGACTTCCCCGCCGAAGGTCATGCTGAGTGTATTTATACTATTCAGTATTCCCCTAATTACCTTGTTTCTGGCTCCAGAGATCGTACTGTCCGGGTTTGGGACATGAAGACTAGGAGATTGAGAGATAAGCCACTCGAGGGCCATGGCGGCAGTGTTTTATGCCTGCAGTTCGATGAGAGCCCAGATGAGGATATTTTGATTACCGGGTCTTCAGACGATAGCGTTATTATCTGGAGATTTTCCACTGGGGAGAAAATTCGAACGATCAAGAAGGCCCACCAGGAGTCAGTCCTGAACTTAAAGTTCTCAAAGAAGTGGTTGGTTACTTGCTCGAAGGATAAGCTCATTAAGGTTTGGAACAGGCAGCAATTGGAGACAACAGATCAAGACTATCCCTGGCATTCGAAGCTGCTGTTTGGGAATAGCCAAGCGGCTCGAAGTCACCCTCACCGCCCTCCAAGCCAGCGGGCTCAAGCAGCGCGGGTCGTTCAGGATCCTGCGGCTGGTTCTGGCTCTGGTCTTCGTAATCCTTATGCCAGTGGTGGGTTTGTCGGCGCAGGGGCCCCACCAAAGGGGGCTCTGCCGAAGACTCTTCCACCTTACACCACCGTGCAGGTCCTTACCGGACATGCTGCGGCGGTCAATGCTATTCAACTTTATGGAGATCAGATTGCTAGTGCCTCAGGTGATAGGCTCATCAAGTTGTGGAATCTAAGAACGGGCACTTGTGAGAAGACTTATGTTGGACATACCAAGGGGATCGCATGTATCCAGTTTGACGGTCACACGATCGTTTCTGGAAGCTCCGACCAGACAATCAGAGTCTTTGACGGTGGAACCCAAGCCGAGATCGCAACCCTCGCTGGGCACGGCGCATTAGTCCGAACGGTTCAAGCGACCGAGAACCGCATAGTCTCTGGCAGCTATGACGAGACCGTACGCATCTGGAGAAAGGACACGGACGGCCAATGGACGGACAGTCACGTCCTCCGTCATGGCGGGCCAGATAGCCGTCACCCCCGCCCTGCACATCTTGGAATGCACCCAGTGATGCCCGGCAACCTTCAACAAGGCACGATACCCCAGACACCAATCCCCCAAGCAGCCATTCAAATGCACCAAGTCCACACCATTGGGCCCGCACTCGCAGGCGCCATGGCAGCAGCGCAGCTCCTACCGAACCACCAGCACCACATTCATCACCCGCCCCAACTTCCACCACCTCCCCCCCAACCACAGGCTCAGCAGCAACAGGTGCCACCTGCACATCCTATACCCACGGCCAGCGGTACTCACCGCGTGTTCAAGCTTCAATTCGATGCCAGGTGGATCATTTGCTGTTCGCAGGATAGCAAGATCATCGGGTGGGATTACGCCGCGGGCGATCCAGGCATTATCGAAGCGAGCCGGTTCTTCGAAGGAGGGAATTAATTAGCTGATTAATCTGAGGGTTGTGATCGTCTTCTTTTTTCCTCTCTTTTCTGGCTGTTTGGGTGAATTACGGATACCATTGTCTATTTCTTATTATTTTTGTCTTCCTCTGCTCTTACCCTTCTAGTTAGCTACAATATCTACCTTATCTCCGCACTAGCTTACGGCTCGCATAACATAACTCACTACGCCTTGTTTTCCTTTTCGCTCCTTCTCGTTTCTACCTCTTTCTATCTCTTCTCCCATCATGCATAACCTGTTTTCGCAGCGAAAGAAATGACTCAGCTAAAATGGATGGATTGGTGTTTCTCCTCTTTTCTTCTTTCTTCCATCTCGTATCGTATCATATCTCACCACCTACCGGTGCTACTAAACGCTACCGACCAGTGGCAACTCTCGTTGTATTATCTCCATTTATTTTCTTGTTTAAAGAGGGGCTTTCCCCTTCTGTTCTTTTCGTTTTGTCCTAGTGCAGGGTGGTTTTTTTTATAGTTTTCCTGATATTATTGAGCTTTTTTTTGTTAGTTTGTTTGCTACTGGTAGAAAGGAATCGAAGGGGGGAGGGGGGATGGATGACGGATTGTAGGTAGTCGTCGAATCGGATATCGGTAGTATAGCGTTTCGGGTTAGGGGTAATGAATTTATGTTTATATTGTTATTACTCGTGTTTGCCTTGCTGATGCAGTGGTGGGGTGAAATTGGGAATATGGGCGCCATTTCGTGTCATAGGATGTCACTCGGATGAGATGGTGGATGAGGGGGGATCATGGTGTGATTGTTCCTGCCAGGCTAAGGCGGCTTATGGAAGTACGATAACCGTGAATGGCTGACACGTAACGACTCCATAGATAGCCTTGATTCGGTCGGCCGCCCGAGTAGCCCGCGACGACCCGTCCGGCAACCATTCCACTCGACGCAGGTATAGCACCCTCTCGAGCTACGCCTCCCTTCAGAATAGCAAAAGAATGTGCGCACTTTTGCTGGAATGTGTAGATTATCCTATCCGCACTTGTTCAGGACTACTCTCTCTCCTTGCCTATCATATATTGTTTCCCAAGGCGACATTTAGGTCGTGCACCATATCTGGCCCATCTCCCAGAGGGTGCAGGAATACCAGTACCGGTAAGGCGCCATAACCCCACCCACCATTTAAACCAGCCCGAGTTTCCGCTTCCGGATTCGGCCATCTTGTTTGGTAGCTATTTGGTATTCTTTTCGCCCGTGCGTGCTTCCGCCGGACTGCTATGCTGTGTTAGTGTACCAACTCCCGCCTTCATGGTGGGTTTCGTCGGGGTGTTGAAGGGTCGACCTGGATTTCCCGCTACGATACGATACGTGTGTGTGAGAATCGTGGTTGAGGAGAGACCATTAAGGGGAGGTGGGGCGGGGGTACAAGTACAGTACCCTACCTACGGTAAGTATGATATCAAGTGGAGCATTGGTCACTTGGGGGACCTTGAGTTGTTCCAGTTATACCGCTAGCTTTTGCGAAAGACAAGAATAAAGGCGATATCGACATATCGACAATCCCCCCGCACCCCCATCCCTCTACCTAATCGCCCGGGGATGATAATGATCAATTCCTACGATGTCCCTATCTTGTCACTATGGCTGGAGTTCTCGCTGTCGAGGGAAAAAAAATATATATATATTTCAAACTTTTATTTTAGGGGGTCTTTTCTCCTGTTACAGGGCTGGTATGATACTTGTTCGCTATCCATCTCGTGTGTCCGGAATTTTGGGATTTATGGAGGGGCGTCAGGCTCATCCCTGGCCTGTGCGGTCGTATGATATGATATATCATCATTATTGTTTCGTTGGTTTACTAGCAGCGTAGATAGTTGGAGTTGCAGTAGGGTTGGGATATTGACCTAAAGGTGATGGCATCGCACCGGAGAGGAGAGCAAGAATCGGATATTTGAAAGTCTTTTTAATTCGGTTCGTGGGGAGGGGCCATCATATCATATCAGTAGATGTTCTGACACGGGTTGACGGAAGACTTACTTTGAAGGAATTGTAATGGCAGAGAACAACAGAGCTGTGGGGTGTGAGTGAGTGAACAATTCATGGCCCCCTCTCTACGCGAAGGTGGTTCTCCACGCTCGTATATAATAGATATGTAGACAGAGACCCCTATTCTACTCCAGATACTCGGGAGATGGTCCCCTCTCGCCACAGAATTCCCACACGAGGGGATCGTCAGTTGTGAGGGATTGGAAGGATCAGCACGAGTACTGAAAAAAGAAAAAAAAAAAGTGTTGACGCTCTGCTTTGCCAAAATCTCGATGGGTAGTATCATAAGAACCTCCCCCGTATACAGAAAGGTGAAAGATCACTCACCCCTCTTGTGACGAAAACCTGATGAGGCGCGGTGGCGGACCACAGTATGATAGATCTGTAGATAGGGAAGTGTTGGACGTACACTATCGAATGGGAGAGAGAGAGAGAACTTGAAAACATGGACTTTATTGATTTACAAACAGCGGATCGAGCGCGAGGTCCTCCCTTGCTTGACACGACCGACATGACCCGTGCCGTACAGTACTATCATAGTTACTAGTGTGTAAATGTTGTCGATCTGAAGATGGGAGGAAATCATTTAGAGTTGTTTTTTTTCTTTTTCTTTTTTTCCATGTCTGACCTTCCCCTCCCTACCTTACTTTACCTCCAACATATCAAAAATCTCAGAGGTCGAGCCAAATTCCGAGTATGATATATAAGACAGAGAGAGATTTGGCTTTTAACTCTACCGACGATCAGTAGAGCCGATGATAACAGGAACCGATCGGTGAGTAAGTTAGCCTATCTCCTCCCCTTCGAAGGGGAATATAGATATAATAATTATAAATATAATAGGTGTTCTCCCTAACTTGGTGCGATATAATACAAATGCCCTCCCCTCCCCTCCGTCCGAAGGATAACTGTCACACCATTAACAGAAATCGTCGGTGCTGTGTCGCTAAGCCCATTCTCCAGAATTCAGTCTTATGCGCCGGTGCACTGTACTGTACTAGTACCATACCAGTACAAGTACTGTACAGTGCGAGTGATATGATATGCTTCGCACGGGAACGAATTACCGGGTGATTTTCGATGATGATGATAGCTCGACACTGCAGACTTGTTACATTACTACCACTATCATAATATCCTGTTGGGTTACATTACACAGGAAAAAAAGAAGAAAAAAAAAAGAAGCCCGTCCTATCATACACCGTCACGGACCAGTCGGAAACCGGCAACGGTGTTATCATACGAATGAATGAGAGAGCAAACAAACAGGCTGACCCTACAAAAAAAGAGAAAGAGAACCGCCATTTTCTCCGGTGAAGAAGAAGAAGGAGGAAGAGTGATTTGTGAGAACTACCAATTCGGTTCAACCAATATTATTGTTTTTGCTATTATTTTACGAACCCACAACCGCCCGTGTTCCGCTGCCTTACTGCAGTCACGCCGCCCGTCACCTTCCTCAACCATCCAGATGGGTACAGTACCGGTACTCGAGTACTTTTACATTTCCACGGAATGGCCGCTTCACAAAGGCTCACTCGAGACCCACAATTGTGTGTGACGGGGAGGTTTCCTCGTCCAACGCAAGGGGGGGTCTCTTTTTTAAAGAAAAAAAAAAAAAGGAAAAAAAAAAAAGAAGGGACCCGCGTCTACTTCTAGCCAAACCATGTATGTCCCGTCCGCCATACATATCGCACTTACCGGCACATTACGCTGATAAGCACCAACCCGGGCTTGCGCGCCCACCCTTCTTTCTCTCTTTCTCCTTGCTCTGAGCCTCCTCCGATCACGGCAGGTAATTATAGACAGCGCAGCGCCCGCGCTCGGCGAATCATGTGTGCTGTGTGATCATGTACGAGTACTGTACGAGTACAGTACTTGTACTCGAGTATTCCGTGGGGAAAGGTGGTGGTGGGGTGGAGGGGATGGGGAGGGTGGTACGTGCGTCGGGGTGGAAATGCGGGGAGGGTGGGTGAATAAATAGAAATCGTGGTACCGTAAGGTAAGTGGGTGGGGTGGGGTTCATTTGTTTCCGCAGATTTGTTTCCTGTCACAGCGCCGGTGCGATCACGATTAATACGGTGTACGGTACAACGATGGAGTTTATTAGGGAATACCGGAAGGGTGACTTTGGTGATATTGTTGAGATTGTATGACCTTTTGTTTTCCTTTTTTTTCTTTCTCCCGCAGTAATACTCTCTGCGTGTGTGTATGCTGACAGCGCGAGTAAAAATCACGAGGGGGGTTAATAGTGTAAACTCACAGCCCACCCGTCGATACACCCATCTGCAGATATCCTCCCGTATATATACGCGGTTCCCTACGTGAAATTAGAACCCGCCCACGCCTTCGTCCTCGATGCCGGCAGTTCAGATAACGCGAGCGGGAGGCGGGTCGTCGGGTACATCATTGGGACGCCCGACACGAACACCTTTGTTGAACGTTACAAAAGGGAATACCTCCCCACCCTGCCCCCCGCCATCGCCAACACCACTGCTGATACTTCTGCGGCGGTCCAGGCCGACGATGGCGATGGCGATGAACTGCGGCGCATGTTTGGGAGGATCCTCCTGAACCCGGAGGATATGCTGCATTCCGCCACCTCCCACTTCATCCCGCGCTACCCGGCACATCTGCACATCGACATATTGCCAGAGTTCCAGGGTAAAGGCTTCGGCGGGAAGTTGATGGGGAGATTCTTGCACCGGGTGCGAGCTCGTGATGGTGATGGGGCTTGTGGTGTGCACTTGGGCATGCGGCAGGATAATGTTGCGGCCGGGAGGTTTTACGAGAGGTGTGGGTTTAGGGTACATGAGGGGTTGTCTAACGAGCATACTACCTGGATGGTTAAGGGGTTGATGGAGGGGGTAGTGGGGGTGGGGGACGAGAGGACGAGAGGACGAAGAAGCAAGAGCAAGATGGAGAAGGGAGAGAAGGGGAGGGGGATGTTGGCTGTGGCGCAAGCAAGGGTGATGATGCTAGTGATCACCGTGGGGTCTGGTAACTCTTGTTTGGGGGGCAGACTCGTATGTTACGGTACGTCTTGTCGAGGGGGAAAGGTGGATTGTATCAAACATTCCATTCCGTATCGGTGCCGCCATTCCATATCGTATCAAGAGATGTTCCCCATAAAAACGCCAATCAACCCCTAATCTCTCAATCTCTCAATAATCAATTAATCAATCGCCTTACAACACCAAAAAGGTCAGCATCTTTAAACCAAAATCATGGAGATGGCCAACAGAAATACCTCCCCCCTTGCCGTACCCCCTATTGTAGATAACCCACCTTATCACCCACTAAAAAAACCCTTCCAGAAAGCCCCTTCCCCCACTCTGGCCAGTTACAGCCTGGTTGGACCGGGGGGGGGGGTAGGTTGTACGAGTACAAAAAAGCAACCAAACGCACACAACCGAAACCCCACTCTCAGCAAGATATGCAACCCTCTGAAACACTCACATGTCCAAAGCGAGACGTTTCCTCCGTACCGTGGAGCAATGGTACTCGAGTACCGTACTGTACCCTAACTCATACCGTAGTAGAACACGTTCGGGTTGTTGGCTCGCTTACTACTCTAGTTATTATAAGAGTATTGCTGAGCGGATACTTTGTCTTGCAGAGTGCCGGTATGACGGCATCAGGGTGCGGTGGGCTATCGCGGGCTATCGCCGCCGTGGGGAAGAGGGAGAGAGAGTGTGTGTGGTGCGGTAATGTGCAGTGGAGCATCACACCAGTAAATTATCATACGGTAATGCAAGGTGGGCTGGTACTTGTATGATGCTCGGGGAAGGCCGGTACGGTAGTTCGAATGGAGGATGTTGGACTTTGTGTGAATGTGTTCTCTCCCTTTCTCTGATACTTTGGGGCAAGGGGTGGTGTAGTACTGTATCGTGCTCCCCCGATACCGGTACTTCACTTTACAATTATTGTACCCACTGTCTATCCATCCAAATGGTCGGGAATGCACTGGGGATGGAATGGAGAAGTGGGAATGGGATGATGACATATCCTCCCTGCTTTGGTTCCTTCCTTCTCTCCTTCCCCAACAACGTGGGAGCGAGGGAATGGGAAGGAAGTAGTTTGAAAGGAAAGGTCAAGTGTTTTGTTCTTGTTTTTATTTTTGGGGCACCGGTACGGGTACGGTGTGTATGGTGGTAGTGGGGCTGCAGGTGTAGGTTAGGATATGTTGGGGGAAGGGGGGTCTTGAGGTGCGTCTGCGGACTTGCGGCGAGCTTTTTGGCATGTGGGCTGGGTTTGGGCTAATGGTGTCTGCAGAGCATGATATTTAGTTGTGCGGCCTACCGTAGGAGTCGGTTGTTGCGCGGGGCAGAGGAGCTGGAGGGTGAGCGGTGTGGGGTGAGTGGAGTAGATATCTCAGTCGAAAGTACTCGAGTACTCGAGTACAGTACAGTAAGATTCCGGATTGGAAAAGAGAGATGGCTGGTCTTGGCTGGGCGGGGAGTGCAACGACCAGAGACAGGGTGATAAGTGAAAATATTTATGAGAGGGGTGGAGGTAGCTGTTTAGTGATATCCTTAACACCGGAGGAGCACAGTAGGCGGTCATCTCTGCAACCTGGCGGCGAAAGCGGCGGCGATAACTTCTGCCATTGCACCGCGCTGGACATCCCATCTACAAAGACCAGTAGAGATAGCAATTAACAGAATAACTTACCCGCGCATCTCCCGGCAGCTACTAGTTACTCGAGTAAATCCCCAGCACCCTCGTATGACACTGTACCAGTACTCGAGTACAATACAAACCCACATGTACTAGACAAACAAATAAACATACAAACGAACCTGTTGGCGGGCGCTCTCTCTATTCATCTACCGGTATCCAAAAGCGTGTCTTGTCGTGTCTCGAATCGGAGGATTGATTGATTGGTCATGTTTGACTTAGCCAACGATCCGGATTTTCCTTCCTCCCCCCCCCTTGGCTCTTTCCATCTATTTTGACCATGATGGGTGCAGTAGAGGTGACCCAATTACCGGGGGAATGGTGTATTGTCACTGGGTAATTTTTGTGAGGATTGAGTTGGTGAGTGAATGGATGGATGAACAATCTGGTAAGTACAAGTACGAGTACTGTAGGTGAATGGCATGGGGTGGCGGATGCGGTGCCCGCACCGCACTGTCCTTTCCTGTACTCGTACCCTGGTGTACTGGTATAATACGTGTAATACCTGCAAGTCGGCACAAGTCCGTCTCACGCATTAATCACTGTAATTAGCTCTCCGAGGGAAGGGTCGACCTTACCGACATCACGGGTTTTCCATAGGGCGGAGCACAGTACTGTACCAGTACCGCACTCGCACAGCGCCGGTGGACCTGGGCCCGCTCCTTTCTCATTTTTAGAAATTAGTTATCAGCTGCAACGCTTGATGTGGAGGCCAACCTACCGTACCGGTACCGTAGCCTGCCGGAATTCCCTTTTTACCAGTCTTTCCGCCTCCCACCATGCCGTAAAGCGAAAGGTTCCCCTTTGGGAAGAGCTATGAGCGGATTGGGATTAGCTTGGGAGTAGATCTTCCCGATCGAAGCACAGCTGGTGCTGAGAATGGAAGAAAAGGTTTCCGCTAACCACAATGTGGGCATTGCACGAGTACGGTACTAGTATTGCGGCACGACAGGTTCCTTGAGGGAGAGAATCACTTTATTCCCTACGGGGGAGTTTTTTTCCCTCGCAGTTGGATGTGGTGTTAAAACCACGGTACCGTGACCTCTGCACAAACCGTGAAGAGGAGAGGGGGAGAGGGACGAGAAAGAGATTGTTTTTTCCTCTCCCTCATCCTGATCCTTTATTCCACCCCCTCTTCTCCATAAGGACAAGTATGTACCGGTACTTATGCCGATGGAGTTCATGATAGCGTGGTCCAGGCATCCAGGCATCGTAGAACCAAATTAAAAATTGCAATACTGGTACTAGTACAGTACGGTATGATGCGGTAAAAAGAGTGAGAGAAAAAGAGAAGGGAGGGCAGGCTTTCAGCAGGTTTCTATCTCTGCTCTGTTCCGTTCTGTTCCGTTCACCTGGTTTTCGCCAGAATACGATCAATTAATCGCCGCCGTATCATCCAAGTGCTGTATCAATTATCAATTCTCTCTCACCCCCCTTGTTTTCTGGTGAAAGAGAATTATTATTTCGTTTTTTCTCGAGAGGAGGTTTTTCTTCATTTCCCTTTTCTTCTGCTCATTCCTGCAGCTCGTCCCTCGCGTCAATCACGTCGAATCTACCGCCATCGTAAACCGCTCGGTTTGTCCACGCTCGGTTCGTCTCTGCATATTTTCGTTCGTACTCACTTAGCTGGGAGAAAAGGTATGATAAACCTATTTGCTTCTTACCTCCACTACCTGTGCTCTATTCACTCGCTTTTTGCTAGAATTCCCCTTGTCTCTTTTGTTTTTGTTTTCTGCTGTCGGGTCGGGTGTCTGGGGGAAGATAGAGTGAAAAAGGAGGGAATAAGCCATTTGGTTTTTTTCGCCCTTCCTCCCTTTACCGGTACCGGTACTTGTACTTCGCATAGACATAAAGCGTTAGGGAAGGAAAAGAATGAAAAGGGAAGAAAATAAAAATAAAGGAATAGGGTCTTTTTTACTCTTTCTATTACTGTACGAGTATTGTACCTTCCTTACCTTTCCTGCTTCCTTTTTTCCATTTTTTCTTTTCTTTTACGAGTGCTGTTACCGTTTTTTCCCCCCAACCTTGCGGGTACCAGTACCCTGAGTGGGTTGATTTTCGGAGCCAAGCGCAGGGCAAATAACGTGAAGCAGGGTTTGAGGCTGGCCTGAAACGACTTGTAGCAGCAGCAACAGATCTACGGACGAAGGGGGCCGCACCCGGAAGAAAAAAAGTTGAGCTGACCGGATTGGATTGGATTGCTGCGGCGACAGCGGATTTGGAGGTTTTTTTGTGGGAGGGAGGAAAAGAAGAACCATTATTGTTAGCGTCGAAAGGAAAGCTATTGAGTGACAGAAGGAGAATAGAGGGACCGAGTGATTGGATCGAGAGGGGATCAGAAGCCAGAATCAAGATCCGTAGAGGGTTAGCGACGGATCGCAGGAAAGTGCGTACTGGTGCAGTATCAGCTACGGTTCAGGGCAATAGTGCAAACCAGTTTCAATCTACCGGCACTCGTAGTGGGAAAGGGGGAGGGAGAGGAAGGGAAAAGTGCAACATTGGGTGGGAAGAGGGAGGGAGAGAGAGGAAGAGAGAGGGAGGCAGATATAAATTACGGTAGTGATACCAGTACGATAAGAAGAGGTGCGGAGGCTCAAAGAGGAGTGGGAAGCACCAGTACGAGAAGTGGAGTACAAGAGGGGAGCGGATTCAACTGGCTGCTGCCGTTGTCGTCGAATGGTAAAGTGGAGAACGGACTGGACCTGATCGACTCCACTTCCAAGAGCAGCAGAGCAGCAACTGGGGAAGGAAATCGGGCGAGTGCTGGGCAACGCTACTTGTACGGTACAGTAAGTTAACGTAGCATCAAGCTGGCAGCATCACCTCCTCACCACCTCTCCCTTGCGCGAGTCAAGGTCAGGAAGGAGGAGCCAAAGCAAGGCAAAGCAGAGCAAAGGGCCAAAGGGGAACAAACGAGCATCGTGCATCATAGCGGAAAGACGAGAAACGAAAGAAACAGAGGAGGAGCAAGAATACAAACGAAAAGAGAAAGCAGAAAGCGAATCAGCATCGTTATCACCGCCATTATCTTCCACACACATACAGTTCATACTTTTCACCTTCCCTCTCATCACTTGCCTTTTTTTTCCCTTCTACGCGGATTCCCTTCTCTTCACGTATCACAACTGCTACTTTTCTTATTCCAACTCTCTCTACAGGTGTCTCGTTGCCGTTGTTATTACCTGTTCTCGTGCACCACAGCTGCAGTTCGCAAACCATACGCCCTCCCCTCCTTCGATCCGAGTTCTCTCTCGCCCGGTTGGTTCTTCGTTCTTCAGTGACCAGAAATCCAGGATAGAGGTCACTGTTTCTGCACTGCACAATCCTCTCCACCTTTCACGTACCCCCCCAATACCATCGTCCAAGCGCCCGGCATCGACCGCCTTCGCCCGCCCCGCAACAACTTGCTATTTAAAATTCGCCTACACCATCAGTATTATTATACCGGTATCACCCACCGAAGCAGAGAGGTTTGCAGTCTCTCTCTCCGTTTTTTATTTTTTTCTACCGAGAGTTGCGAGAGAAACGAAGCGCAGCGTAACCCGGAGGGAAACGATCGAGAAAAGAAGGACGGGGAGGGCTCACGTAACTTAGACAAATAAGTTTTGAGATGTACGCCGATGCGGCGGTGGTAAGTTCCCCCCCTTCTCTCTTTTTTTTTACCACACTGTGTGAGAGCACTTTCTCTGTCCTTCCTGCTCCTTGTTCCCTGTGCTTGGCTATTTCCGCAAGCCCCCTACCGCCCGGACACAACCATCCCTCCCCCCCCCACCTTCCCTTCAATATCCATCTATTTGCTGCACTGAGCGGTACACTTGCACCACCCCCCCCCCCAGCGACCGTTTCCTTCTCGAATCTCTTATCTCCTTTCCCATCCTTTCTACTTCCTGCCTTCCACCCTTTTTTTTTGTTTTTTTTTTTTTTTACATCATTAGAAATAACAGAACCAGCACGAAACGGCTGGTTTTTCTGTGGAAACAAGGGCACGCATTCTCTACATGAGCATAACTTACACAGCTTCCAACTGTCAAACTGACTTCAATCTCAACCCTACAGTTCGCCTCTGCGAGGCTTAAGCCCGCGAAGACCCGGTTGATGACCGTTGAAATCGATCAAGCTACCCTGCTACATGCCCAGACTGCCCCGGCAGCAATGAACGGCCATCCACAAGTTCCCATGGGGACACCATCCATCATGTCTTCCACAACTACTTTAGTTTCAAATCACAGCGGAATCATCTCGCCTACGACAAGTCTGATGTCGACGCCCGTCGGAAATGACTCGCTCATCAACAAGAAAGCAGATCCTGCTCAGGGTCTTTACCAAACATGTGTGGCCTTGCGGGAGCGCCTAATGCTCGTACTCGATTTCGAGCAATTCTTAGAACCTCTTCCAGGCGCCCCCGAGGATCCGGTCTCGCAACTCTGGAGGTGCTTTAGGATGGGGTCTAGTCTTTGTGTTCTGTTCAACGCAATGCGTCCAGTTTCTTTGATTGAGGATTCCCGGTGCCAACTTAACCTTGGTAGCGCGAACGATTGTAAAGCGGCCACCTATCACTTCCTTCAGGGGATCAAGAAGGAGCTCAGCATTCCCGACTCCGAATCTTTCATGATCCATAATCTTTATTCTGACGATACGAACGGCTTTGTTAAAGTATGTTTTTTCTTTTTTCTTCCCCACTATCATTCTTATCCGGGGAGCCCATCGCGCCACGGTTTGATTTCCGCTGTACCTTTGGCCCCACGGTTTGAATATAGTGCCCGTGGTCGGAAAATTACACTTTCCTGACGGTTTCGGAAATTAGGTCACTAGAACGGTTAGCAGGATCTTGGACGAGCTCAAGAAGCGGAAGCTTCTGTTGAACAAGAAACCTTCCGATACCAATCGCAGCTCCTCAGAACGCAAACCACTTGATAACAGAGCTCGCGTTGTACAAGAGCTTGTCGATACGGAGCGTAAATATGTGCAGGATCTCGAAACTCTGCAGGACTACATGCGCACGTTAGAAGCCGACGAGGTTATCTCGAAGGATCTTATTCATGTTCTCTTTTTAAACCTGAACCAGCTTGTGGACTTTCAGCGCCGGTTTCTGATCAGAGTGGAGACTCAGAATGACCTTTTGCCGGAGCAACAGAGCTGGGGAGCTTTATTTGTGGAATACGTGAGTTGGATCGTTATTTTTACTGCCGGGGATGGCTTCTAATTGCGCGCTCGTAGTGTCGGGAGCCGGAAGAAAGACCACAGAATAATGGCGACCCCATTGGGCGTCCCGCATTTCAGGAAACTTTTGCCGTCTACCAGCCTTATGCCTCGAATTTTAAGAATGCCCAGGATTTGGCTATAGAAGAGAAGGCTAAATTGGAGAAGAAGCCCCATCCTGTTTACGATCAACTTAATGCCTTCTTGATCAAACCTATTCAGAGAGTCACCAAATATCCATTACTATTGAGAGTACGTTTGTTCAATTGGTCTTCAGGCTGTTCGGACATCTAATGTGCTTGCAGGATTTAATAAAGCAAACCGATCCCCTGGAAGCCGAAGACCAAAGCTTACACCAGGGGCTCGAAGCAATTGAAAACATCAATAGAAAGATTAACGAGGCGATTCGGAAATCTGAGAACGCTGAAGTTGTCAAGGATCTTGAGGGTAGAGTTGAGGATTGGAAAGGGCATAAGCTTGAACACTTCGGTGAACTGTTGCTCCATGGTCAATTTTCTGTCATTAAGAGTGACCCGAAAGGTGATGTTGAGCGGGAGGTTTGTAGCCTATGGCCTTATGGGAAAGGGTCTTTGCTAATCTTGTAGTATTATATCTACTTGTTTGAACGGATCTTGTTATGCTGCAAAGAGGTGGGCAAGGATAAAAAGCAAAATAGGGCGATGGGTGTCGGGAGACCACGGCCGGGAAAGAAGCGGACTATGCTGCAACTTAAAGGCAGAATTTTTATGCAGAATGTTACCGATGTTATATCCTTGGCAAAAGGGGGTACGTTTGTTGACCAGCTAGCCAGAGTGGTCACGCAAGGGGTTTTTTTATTGACAGAGTGAATATAGGATCATACACTCTACAGATATTCTGGAAAGGCGACCCTGGCGTTGAAAGTTTTATCATTCGACATCCTAACGAGGAGCGGCTCGCACAATGGAATTCCATGTTGCAGAAGCAACGAGAGGTATTCACAAAAGCAGGGACGCCGGGTAGCCGTAACGGAGGTCGCACGAGTGGGGGTCTGAGGGCAACTGCAGCCACCGAGTTTGCTTGGATGGTCAATTCCGACACTGCCGACCAAGGCAGAAGGAGCGAAGACGAACGTTCTGAAGATGATGAGGATGTTGAGGATTCTCACGATACTCCCACACTTACCGGTACACCAAGCTCTGGTTTCAGTGTGAGCCGTAATGGCTCAAGTACAAGTTTGAGATCACGGGCTGCTACGAATGAGAGTTTAATACAACCTCCGGCGCCAATGGGAAATCTCCCAGGAACATATGCTAGGCCCCCTCCAAGGTATCATCAAACGAACGTTCCCCATCAGCCCCCGCTTACCCTTAATACTGGTGTCAGCCCCATATCCCAATCCCCCGAGCGAAATGCCTCCTACTTCTCCCCCGTAACCGAGACTCCCTTGACATCACGTACAAGCTCTTCGTCCAGCCAATTCCCGTTCCCCCGACAAACATCGACTGGATACTACGAAGAACCGCATCGCTACGGGACCCCTACTATGTCTCGGTCCACGTCTAGGGAAGGCGCTGCAATTGCTGCAAGTCAGGCTGCCCAAGCTCAGTTTGCCCACCATCAGGCAAGCCAGCGCTTACAAAGACCCTCACTTCCAGGCATGGCACCGTCTTCTTCCGCCGCAGCAACTTTGCAGCAAAATCGAATGCGATCGGCTAGTAGTCCCAACATACATCATGTTCCAAGTCAGGCACAGCTTGCCCGTTCCCCCAATGGAATGATTCCTCCTATGCCATCTGTTCCGTCAAATTATGTTGCGTATAGCGGTGGTCCAGCAGTCATAAACCGAAGCCAGAGCAACTCTCCCACCTCCCCCAATCTAGCGGTACCAGGCGCGCCAGTGAGGAATGGCTCGCCTGCGGTCCAGGACGGTCACCATTCAAAGCATAGCGGTAATGGCGCAAATGGAGGTTCCACAACTCACTCCCAGGTAAAACTTAAAGTTAACTTTGGCAATGACAAATTTGTCATAATTGTTCCTTACAATATCGCCTATGTTCAATTGATGGACCGTATTGAGCGCAAGGTTAAGCTTTGTGGGTCAGGACCGGAGATAACTTCTGCCACGAATCTTAAGATCCGGTACCAGGATGAGGATGGCGATTATATCTCGATGAATTCGGATGATGATGTGCTAATGGCTTTCGATGCGCCCGGGGAGCCAGGGCAGAATGACAATACCGGAATTTCGGGAGTGGTAACACTTTACGTGTCGGTATAAGTATTCAGTTTGTTCCGAAGTCAAGGGGGGTTTGTGGAGGGTCTTCAATTGTTCATCCTTTCGTTGGTTTTTGCTTTTTAATTATTTCTGGAGGCGATCAAGGGTGTGCGGCGTTACGAAAATCTTTCTGAAATTTTGTCGGTCACTGAATTTACTGGTGACCTTGCTTTTTTATCTTGCTTTACTCTTTCTTTTTGTTACATGTTTTATTAGCAATGGTTTTTTTTTTGGGGGGGGGGGCCACATATCTTGTTCTCTTATTTATATCGCAATGTCATCATGGCTGGGGTTGGGAAGATGTGATTTGGGGTGGAATTCAGTTCAATATCAAGGCGAAAACGAGGTGTTGGAGGAAGTTAGTTTTTTCTCCCAACGAGCAAGCAAGCATGCAAGAAATAACGAAATGATGGTGGTTCTCGTTGAACGCACATGGTCGGTTTTCTTTTTTCCCCTCTTTCATCTCGTTTGTCTGTCCTTTGATCCCGGAGTTGAATTGTGGCTGATATGTATCCTCTAGACCTCCTCTAGACTCCTGGGGAAAAAGGAATTGCGCTTTTGCTTTTGCCTTTCTTTTCCTCCATTGAGATTAAGGGATCTGTCTTGTTTCCTCCCCTCCCTTTTTTCCCTCTTCCTTTCTTTACTTTTACTTTGCTACTTGGACTGAGCATTTGCTTGTCACTTGCCTGTTCTCGCCCATCCTCTCATACCTGTGATACCCTACCTTACCTTACTTGCCCACTCACTCACTTACCCCATCCTCATCATCCCCTTTATCCTTTCACATCGTTCACATCCCTGCTCACATACCCAGGTCACTGCTTCGGGGGACAAGAGATACAAAGTGAAGCAAGATAAAAGAACAATACAGAACTAAACATCGAACTGCCCGGTCGGGCAGGTCATGCGCCCGGGAACAAAATCTGCTTATTTTTTTTTCCATAAAGTCTGGGTGTTATTCCTTTTTTCCTTTACTTTTTTTTCTTACGGATTAAGAGATGGCTTCCTCGCGGAAATTTGGGTTTCTTTTCATTTCTATTTGCACTTTTTTGACAATTCAATTTATCAAATTCTGAGCTTTGCTGATAGGTTTAAGTATATTGGCTTTCTCATTTTTATCTAGTAATAAAGTAGAGTTTCAATACAGGTACAAAGTTGACTACAATCAGAATATTGGTTGTAAATTTATAAATGTTTTGATTACTGAATTTTCAAAAAGAGTTAAATTCCTGAAGAGCATTAAATTGTTGAAGAATATTAACGTATCGTACCATGAAGTGACACAACACTGGGAAGTGACAAATTAAACTATACTACTAAAGAAGTAATAACTCTATCACTTCTGAACCAAATTAAATAAAACAAAAGGAATAAATATAAGAGGAGTAAATATAAGAGGAGTAAGAGAAGATAGTCAGGAGTTAAAATTAATAAAATAATTAAGGCGATATGGTTTGCACGGACCAAAACCAGCACCAGAAACTTAGCAGTTTTCAAATGATTATACCATCAGACCAAGCTATCCAGGTAACTCAAAAAGCCCTCTACATTATTCTCCTCACCTTTCTCTATAATGTAGAGGTTTTTTTTTAAGTCATCTAAGCAACTTGGTCTGATGGTATAATCATTTGAAATATGGTATTTTTGATGTAAAAGTTGAAAATATATTATACACAGCCACACCTTCCTGGTAAAGATAGGGCATTCTTCCGCTTAATAATTACATTTTGTGCCAAGCCTTCACGTGAAATATCATACAAAAATTAATAAATCCAATAACCTGTATACTTTTGTAGGCATTAGACCTATCAACTCCTATAGTTATACTCAATCTCAAACTATCATATCTATTTCAGTACAACGGACTTGGAAATGTGCATAAATGGTCAAGCATTATATAGTCAGGCTTCATCCACTATTCTGCTTTAACTTGAAGGTGTATCATTTCACCTTACTCAGGGGGCCTTGGCAATTCTTAGTTGAACTCAGATCAGCTGTCATGGACCCGCTGTTCCACCGGAGGACCCAACTTGCAGTGCTTTGAACCATAGGGGAGTCCTATTTAGTTTGGATGGATGGACTGAGAAGAATGGATGGATGGGGGGGGTTAGGTTAATATACGATTTTATACCCGTTATTTGGTTTCGCGGGTGCGAGGGCGAAGGGAGGGCGGCTGTGGGAGGGGAGAGCTACCTTAGTTTGACATCTACAGTACAGGTATCGCACGATGCATTGTGGACTTATTTCTTGGTTGATTGGATTGTGCTGGGTAGGCTTTGTTTGTGTTCACGCTTTCTCACTCTTTCGTTCTCCACTTCGTTAGGTTATCTGTCTCATACCCCCCCCCCCTAATTCCCCTTTCGCTTTTGTCAAGATTAGAGTATCCATAGCTTAGAAATACGAAGTTTGGTCATCATGTAATGTACAAATAAAATTATCGATAAGAATGATGAGAGACTGTCCTGGTCCGCTAGCGAAATAGGGGTTTGATCGTTGAATCACTCTAGGACGATGGGTCCATTTGCGCCCCTCGCCGATGACATCTCCTGCCTTTTCTGCGGTGGCGGGTTAGTGCTATCGATGCCCACGGCTGGATAACTCTCCTTGCGCTTCATGCTGGGGGCGGGAGGATCCTCTGGGTTATTCATCCCGCCGTCCGCCATTGGCAACGGAGCTCCCACTGGGGCTGGGTACTGGATGCCGGTGGAATTATCCGTAGAAAGACCACCTCCACTCCCCTCCCCCGCGTTTTCCTTTTCCTTTTCCTTTTCATCCCTTTCCCTCAGGGACTTGAAAAACTTCTCAGCCCGGCTCTCGGTAACACCCGTCTTCTTGGTCCTCATCCCATCCTTATCATGCACGACATCGAACAATCCTTGCTCATCAATAACGTCAATATCCAAGCTCCTTGCCGCTTCGATATCTGCCGGGTCCGCGCCTTCACCGACGATGATGTAATCGAGAGGCTTCTCGATGGGAACTTTTTGGCGTTTGCCTTTGCGGAGGAGGGCACTATCACCTAGTCAGCTCTCTTTCCATACTGTTGTGCCGGGGGGGCGAGAGAAGACATACCCGCCACTCTCCCTAACAATCTCCCCAACCTCACTTATCGTCAACCACGGTAGCGTCCCGAGAACAGCAAATACCAAATCCTCGAGACAGCCGGGTTTGGCAAAGTTCATGCGCTTGCCGATTGCGTTGCTGCGAATGTAAAGGATGAAGCCAGGTTCGAAGATATGCCCGGTTTTGTTGCCGCCGTATATGGCGAAATAGGTGCCTTCGGAGCCGGCTTCGAGGGTGTGGGTTGGGGTTTCGTTTTCCTCTGCCATTCGTCTGGTTTGAGTTAGCAGACACGCGCGCGGGGGTAGTTGTAACAAGGGGATGGGAGGAGGGAGGACGTGCCCGCCGTGACTGATGATCAGAGCTTTTGCTTCCGCCTCTGTGAATTTTCGTAAGCGACCTTCGAATTTCCAGGTTGTCTTTGTGAGGGCCTCGGTTTCCCAGGGGTGGAGTGCTGTAGTAGCTGTCGCAGCTGCTGCAGAGGAAGAGGAAGCCATTGTTTGCCTCTGATGATGATGGTGTCTGCAGAAGTGCTTGTAGGAGGTCAATTGCGGTTTGTGGGGATATATAGGGAATTATGCAACGGAAGGGTTCACTTCGACCACCCGGAGGTGCGGCCTCGGGGTTATATGGAGAAGGGTGGGAAGGGCTAGAGAGTGAGACAGCGTGACGGAAGGGATGGAAATCACCAATGACGTAACTGACGGGCTGGTTACCCTGCTTGCCACGGGTTCGCGGGGAGTGTCGGTGCTCGACACGCTGAACCCTGAGACCAGGTACAGTACGCGGGTACCCGAGTAACTTGATGGTCATGGCGGGCCCTTTGGATTTATCGTAGGAATCATTTTTCATCACATCACTTCCCCTGTAGTGGTGGTATAGAGTGTCTCACGGGGTCGAATTGATCGCTTTTCGGAATGTCACCCTCACGGGGCCTTGCCTTTGCAAGGTCGATATCCCGTGCGCACCAGCAACAATTCCCGCGCTATCAGAGTACTTTCAGAGCCCTCTCGCGCTCGCAGATCCCGGTGCAGGTCTACATCTCCAAATCGAACAATCCCTATCTCAACCTCTCGCTAGAGCACTACCTCTTCCAGACTACTCCCCCCGGGATCACCACTCTTATAATATACACCAATAGTCCGTCTATCGTTCTGGGGCGGAATCAGAATCCATGGGTCGAAATCAACCACCCTCTATTCCCCTCAGCTTCTAACCCTCCACTCGTTGTGCGCCGTCGTTCAGGTGGTGGCACAGTCTTCCATGATCTGGGTAACGTGAACTACTCCGTCGCTATGCCGACATTCGCCTTCTGCCGCGACAAGCACGCGGAGATGGTCGTGCGTGCGTTGCGCAAGCTAGGCGTTGTGGGGGCGGTCATGAACAAGCGGCATGACATCGTGATCTTACCGGACGGGATGGCGGTGGAGGAAACGAGGTTGACCCGGGAGGTAGAGGGCACCAGGAAGATTTCTGGGAGCGCTTATAAACTGACTACCCGCCGGTCGTATCATCACGGGACGATGCTGCTGGAGAGTAGGTTGGAAGATGTGAGCGGCTATCTGAGGAGTGCCGCTAGGGAGTGGATGAAGGCTAGGGGGGTGGGTAGTGTCAGGAGCACGGTTGGGAATGTGCGGGCTGAGGAGGGGAAGTTTGTGGGGGCTGTGGTTGAGGAGTTTGGGAGAATGTATGTTGGTGAGGAAGGGGTGGAGATTCTTAAAGATACTATGGCGAGTGGGAAGGGTTGGATGGATCAAGAGGCGGGAGTGGGGATATGTTGGGTTGGAGAGGAAGTGGGCGAGATTGAACAGGTGCAAAAGGGAATTGCGGAGCTGATGGTGAGCTTCCCAGTCTACAGGAAGGTTTTATATGTTAAGCTTGTAGTGCAGTCTCCAGAGTGGATTTATGGACAGACGCCGCAGTTTACGTTTTCTGTGCCGGCGCCCAAAGCGAATGACGAGCCCGTGCCTCCTCTTCCGCAGTCTAAGGATCCGCTAAGCGATGCTACTACCCCACCTATATTACAGCCCCCCGAGGGCTCGGAATTGGAAATAACAGCCAATAATGGTATCATTCAGTCTGCATCGCCCCCTCTAGAGAATCTTGTCGGAAAGAGATTTGACGGCGGTATCATCGCCGACGAACTCAAAGCCAACGGTAGATCACCCCTGGGAAAATGGGTCGAAAGTGTCCTTGGTAGAACCCTATGGAGAAATACAGGCCCCTAGATATGTATCAACCACTCTCGCGCAGTCCATATCATGTACAGTAGATACCGGTCTATAGATCATCCAGTGGAAAAAGATGAAGAGAAAGAAAAATACCCCAATCAATACATTTACTTGAGCCGCCGATCCTTCTACCGTCTCATCGCTTATTTATTCTTCGACATCTTATAATTGAACCTCTTTCGCGTGGGCGCAAACTCCCCAAGTTTGTGCCCAACCATCTCTTCTGTGACCGTGAACTCGATGTAGTCCTTTCCATTATGAACTTGAAACCGCTGTCCGACGAACGGGGGGATAATAGTGGACGACCGAGCATGGGTTTGGATCGCCAATGGCTTCTTTCCCGGCTCCAAGTTCGACAAGTCTTGGAGTGGGTAGGGAACGATGAACGGTCCTGATTATGGTGGATGTTAGTAAACTGAGGGGGGGATGGGGCTATTTTAGAAGGAGAGGTCATCACCCTTCCAGATGGAGCGCTTCAGGAGTACGCGTGATGGGAACATGGTGAGTGGGGGAGGAGGGGGAGGTAGGGAGGGGGGTTGATTCGTCGTTTGGTGAAGATGATGATGGCTAATGGGGTGAGGTGAATACCAGTATTACTCGAGTAGATTTGAGGACCCTGGGACGGGTGTTGCCGTTGTGTTGCGTTGCGCACATTGCATCCATCCATCCGCCTTAGACTACCCCTCCATTTCTTTCCTCGGGCGGCCCGGTGGTGTACAGTAAAGGCAAAACATATCACGGGGAGGGCATCAAAGCCTTCTTCCTTCGAAACCTTTTCTAAGAACACCTTCGAGCTGTAGGGCCACTCATCAATGCGGAAATCTAATCACACGTGAAAGATGATTTTCTCGCTCGTTCACTTTGCAGTGACTTACTTGTATTAATCAAACCCCCTCTCTTTCCCGCCTCGGTAATCATGGCGCCGCGGCGGGCAATAGGCTGGCACTCCGCTGGCATTTCTGCACTTCAGACTACCGCTATTCAGCGTGGTGAAATGCTGGACTGCAGTTCCCTGCGCGATCAGCGGGTGGGTGCGGGCAACTGTGGTTATATCCATCCCCCTCCGTGTTCAACGAACGATGCCGGAGGCTTGTTTTTTTCTTTTCAGGATCCGTTAACAAAAACCTTCCTCTCATTTAAATACCTTATCATGGCTAAACTACCGTAAAGCGATGATAGGGATCCCAAGATGCGGTGGCCTATCATACGTTGGAACCTCCATCCATTCCCCCCTTCTCTTCTGTGCTTCATCCACAGTGAGGCCCCCCCACTCCCAATCAAGCACTAAACTTTTCTGTCTGCTACCTCAAAAGGCGCTTGTCACAGCGGCAAAGCCATAAATATATATATCACAGATACACCATTCGAAACTCCCCCCGCTCAGCTAACGCATCCTCCGATTCACAATCCCGAGTGACACACCATGAATTAATCCGCCCTGTATTACCATCGATTTTGTACTTTGGCTTCCTGGAGTGATTCTATCCTAGAGATCTTGAGGGCTAGGGATTCTCTCGGACAATGGTAGTAGGAGACCGTATAGCATTGGGTGGATAGGGGTGATTGAGGATAGCGTACTCGATTAAAAGTGGCTAGCAGAGCGGATGATTGATGGACAATGGTATGGCATGGTGCTGTCAGGGTAGTGGGCTACCCAGTAAACTTGCACGGGAGGCCTTCTCATTGAAGAAATTTTCATGCGAAAGTGGTTATGATACTCTCTCTCGGAAAGAGGAAGGGTTGTTCGCGGACATGGATTCACGCAAGAGAAAAATAAAAACTTGAGTTAATTACACGCTCTGCGGGCTGAGGCAGAATTGAGAGCTAGAAAGAGACGCAGAATCCCTCCCGTTTCTTGGCGAAAACGTTAAAACCCCACCTTCCCCTTCCACCATGCCTCTATCTCCGCCACCCGTTCAAACGGAATATTGAAAATTGGATGATGCACCTTCAACCTATCGCTCTCGACTTCCTGTCCGGACAGCAAGTCCTCCTCAGTAATATCATCTGGCCACGCCGGCATATCCTCGACGATTGCTTCCGCCACGTTCGGGGCATTGCTGGGTATTCGCGGGGAGTAGCGCCATAGAAATGGGGCTGTAAGTGGGAGCGGGGGATCTGCGGATTCGTGGTTCGAGGAAGGGGGTGGAGAGGAGAGGGGTATGGGGGAGGGGGTGTAGTAAAAGTAGTTCTGGGTGCTGGCGAGGCCGAGGAGGATGTAGTTTGAGTGGTAGTAGTCTGCGCCTCTGGTTTGTGTTAATTGCTGGTTAAGACGAGGGAATAGGGGAGGAGGCTTACTTCCCGGGTTTGTCACGAAGACCGCCCCTTGGGCTTTGACAGCAACTCATAATATATCGCGCCAACCCCTCTCTGCTCCAGAGACTTCCAACAACCCTCTTCTCTCCCACTGTTTCCTCGTTTTCATCCTGTGGGCCATTGATACCCGCTTCGACCAACGCCCAACACCCGCCGACCCAGGTAGCGTAGCATCCATCAACAAGTTTGTTCGTCCGCCCACTCAGCCCTCCTTCTGGAGCGTGCTGCCTAGCGCTGAGCCAGGAGACCAGGCGGTCCATGTCCAAATACTTCTTCAGCACCACCGCCGGCTCACCAAGAGTACACAATCCAGCAAGTGTGCAGAACGCATAACCACCGTGCGCTTCGTCCCCATTCGGGGTGGCGCCGAAACCGCCTTCATATGTTTGACAGCGACCGAGATATTCTTTTGTTCCCTTGACCAGGTTTCCAGAAGGGGGAAGACCGAGGAGGGCTAGTATTACCAGTGCGCAGTAGACACCGCGAACGTCTTCTTCTCCACCGACGCAGACTCTGAAACCGCCCGATTCCCAATCCTTAATTTCGTGCAGCCAGCGGAACATTGTCTTTCTGTCTACTATTCCCAGAGCCTCCTCCTCCCCGTCCTCGTCGTCACTTCTCCCGACGATGGCTAGCGCTAAAACTGCAGCATAAGTAGCTGTAACATGCGATACTTGTCCATTCCCACCACCAAACCCCCCAGATTCATTTTGTAGTGGCCGGAGACTGCTAATCACCCGCTCCCTGTACTTCCCCACATCAACCCCCAGACTCGCCAGCCCCTGCAAACACCAGTAAATAATCCAGGACCTTGACGCGTCCAGCACTACCATCATCTGATGTAACTTTCCATTCTGAACACCGAGAATCCCGCCCTCGAGAAAGGCAATGTGCTCGCGCCGGCTCAGGATAGGAAATGGATCTGATGGGTTGGAAAGGTGTTTCATGCAGATCTCTGCGGTGGAGAGTTGGTCCTTGCTGGAGGGGGTTTGGAGTGTGTCTTGGAGGATAGGGGGCGTTGTGAAGAGGGCCGGAGTCGGCGGGATGAGGGGTTCGGGAGGGGTGGTGGCAGCAGTGGGCATGCTTTGGTTGTGATAATGGGGGAAGTAGGGGTTTGAGGGGTTCCAGGTTTGCTGGGAGTATGTTGGAGGTGGTTGTGCAGAGGATAGGATGTCGTTGAAAACTTCGCTGGGTGTGGGGGGAGTTCTCGTTGTCGGATTGGCGGGAGTTCTCGACGAGGAGGCGGTGGAGGAGGGGGAGGTGGCGGACATTTTGTTGTGCGTGAAAATGACTTTTGGCCGTTTCGATCGGACTTGCAGGCGTTGTGGCATGAAGGTAAGTTTGGCGGTGGTGGTGGGGTGGTATGGGGTGAAACTTTTTTTCTTCCCTTCCCTTTCCTCTTGGTGTGGTATCGGTAGGACGTGTTTGCCCGGCAGGCCGTGTTGTGGTGGGTGGCGATGGGGTGAGGTTGGTGGGGCACAGTACCGGTAGATTGCTTTACCGGTACCGTACGTACTAGTACTCGTCTACCGTACTCGGGTAGTCTCGGCACGCTGTAGAGCCCGGCCAAGTACGGTAACCGTATCGGTACGAGTACCTTACAACTTAACTTAAGCTTTCTTTATTGGGAACAACTACTTAAGGGAGAACAAGCGAATATGGATCGACGATGCCTCAGTTGTTAGTATTGTCCCTTGAAAAGCTTTTGCTTTATTTGGTTAGATCATTCCCCCCGTCTTTGTGAGGATGGTTTAACTTGTAGCTTACAAGTATGAGGTGTTTGATGGTGTTGAGTTATCATACTCTAACAAGGGCCTAGTCTACCGGAGTGGCTTCCTCTGGGCTACTGGCTTTCAGGAGCCGCTACGCTTGCTTGACAAGACATACAGTGTCGGTGCCCCGCAGCTACGAGTTGGTTACTACGGTATGATAACCTCCCTATTGGCGCACCGGTACGGGTGTTCTTGCCCTGTGAATAAAGGCAATTTGGGTATCGTCACGAATGGAGGCATCCTCACCCTGTAACTTAGATCTCCAAGGAGTTGTCCCTCATTCTAAGTTTTCAGAAAAAAACATACCGGATGCTCGCGCGCCGTATGCTATGCTGCCGGCGTGGAAGTAACCCTTACAAGTGAACAGGAAACCAAACAACATAGCATAGAGAAATTCCGCTGTATTGCGTGATATCGTATCTGCTTTCTAGTTGCCATCCAACCAAACATCCGCATAGCGGCCTCTCTAGATTTGCACGGTATCAAGCACCAGGTCATCCCAAAGCTCATTCGAAAACAGCTTCTTAAGATCCGACAGCTGCCACTTTTGCACCTCCCCGATCTTCTTCAAGGTGTCCCTGAACTCAGGGATCTCCTCCTTGTATGCAACGGTCTTGAGATACTTCCTGGCCGGAATGCCATCAAGATTCAACCCCTCCCTACCCAACCGGTTAGAGAAACAACAGGACCGAAGAATGAACGAGCGAGAGTAACAAACCATTCTTTGGCCCAATGTGGCCTAACATTCAATTCCTGTCCATAGATCTTCCCATAACTCATCCACTTGTCGGCAATGAGCTGCAAGAATGGCTTCCACTCTCCATCGCTGACCGCGTCGGGGATGGACAGGACCTCGATGCTGGCGGTTCCGTGCTTATTCCCGCGCTGGGGCGCCATGATGATGTCGCTATCTGCCATGATGCGGAGTTCCAGCGTCAGGCGCATAGGGGATTCGGGGTCGGAGTAGACGAGGTTAATGGCGTCCCACCAGGCGCGCTGGACGATCGTCCAGTCAGGCTTCGAGGGGTCATCTTTTCGGCTCGGGATTGGGATTTGGAATTCCATGTCTCGGCAACGCATGTTTTGGGTCTGTCACATTTTTTTTATTTTTAAAAAAAGACCCTCCAGTATTGCCTCCGTCCCGTATTGAGATGGGTGAGGGGGAGGAACTTACACCACGTCTAAAATGCAATGCATCGGGCATAGAAGTCTTAATCTCGGTATCGTGTTTCCCGAAGAATTGGGGCGGTAATGCGGCCATCGAGAGCGTCGCCAGGAACTCCGCCTGCCAGCGTCCTGGGATGGCCTTGAAGAACTCCGTCTCGATGATGACTCCTCCAAGCCATCCTTGAATCCACTGGAGCCAGATCTCGAATGTAGGAGGGTACTGCTCCGCGCCCTCCTGGTGGTCTACGGGATTCCAGCAGTGCACCCATGCCTTCTGCTGGAACGGGAACCAGAAGAACTCGGAATAATAGTCTTTCTCCACACGCTCTTCGAAGCGCCTGGTAGCCTCGGCGAGCTGTTCTGGCGTGAATGTCTTTCTTAAAGCAAAAGGGACATCTTCAGGTTTTAGGGGTGGGATAGCGAGGTTGATATCCGGCTTCTCTGGACGCATCACGGCGTAGGACATTGGCTGGAGTTCCAGGGTTAGATGGGTAACTATACCAAGAAGACCGAAGCAGCCCGCGGCCGCTTTGAGAAGTTCGGGGTCTGAAATGGTTTGGTGGACGCCTTTCGCGTCGACGTATTCTACTTTGCGGACTTGGTCGGAGATAGTCTTGTGTTCACGCCCGGCGCCGTGGCAGATGGGGGCGTTTGCTCCTCCCTAGGCCATTAGGGTCAGTAAAACTCCTTCACAACGATTCCCCATTTAGACTAAAGAGAAATGTGTTATACCATAGTGACTCTGTTCAGAGGAAGAAAAATCAGCACGAGTGACATATGATGATTTGGAATCGAGAACTTACTCCACAAGGATAACATCCATCGGCAGCGCCCAGGTCCCGTGGGCAATCTGCCACCTCCTAAACTCATCTGCAGTAACCGCGGAACCAACACGAACGCATATATTCCCCGGCTTCGAAGGGACCGTAAGATCATCAATTTGAATACTCTTAAGCTCATTCAGTGCATTTGATTGCGGGGGAGGAAACAACGTTGAGGGGTCCGGAACCTGGGTCGCCTTCTGAATATTCAATAGCGAGACCAAGATCTCGTTGTCGGCGGAGAACATGGGGGCCCAAGTGTGTCTGTAGCCGCTGCACCTAATGCGGAGACCCTCCTTCCCGGCGTACTTGACGAGGTTCTCCAGTCCAAGGATGGTGGTTGGGATGAAGGTGAATTTGGGTTTATTTTGCACCGTCAGCCCCCAGTTGTCGAATGTCTTATCGGCGTACACCTCCATGACCTTAGTCCCGGCCTTGTCCTCGTAGATCTTGGGTACATCCTCCCACCCGAGGATGGATTCCAGGACCTTGAAGTGATGGATAGCAGCGGGGCTGGGAAGGACTTCGAACCCGGACTGTGTGACATCCGATGCGGAGTCGCCCTCTATGAATCTGTCGATTTGCTGTTTGACCTGGGGGTCGAGGATTTTGAAGGCATGTTTGTATGTCCTTGTCTTTCGGAAGACTTTCAGGAAGAGCCTGAGTTGGGTCTCGGTATCGGCTTTGTGGTCACGGACGTCCGAGACGAGGGTGCTCAGGTCGTCGAAGTCGATGTTGGGGAAGTCCTCGACGAACTCGGATATGTGATCGAGGATTTCGCCGAGAATCCAGTGGCCGTTTAGCTTCCCGGTGTCTGGGACTGGGACTCTGTTTGACATTTTTGGTGATGATAGTGGAGGGGATAGTGGTATTTGGTCCTTTGGGTACTTACTTGTGCCCCTTGAATTCTGGGAGGATGGTGGACATTATTATCTTTGGGGGGGGAGATCCTCTCTTTATAAATTCTGAGTTATAGGATCCTCGGGAGCTCCCCCACTCAGCCCTGACTGAAAATAGCCATGAGAAAATCATATATGGTGCCGGTACTCTCTGACCTCCATGGTCTAGTACTTTTGGAAGGGGTGTAATCTCTTGCCGGCGGCTGGCACTTCGGACTGATGGGATGTGGTTGGTGTCAATGATCTTACTCTCCAAGCCAAGGATAAGGCAGTAACGTGGAGAGCTTCGTCCTGATTCCTTACCCATGCGAGATCCGTGCGGAGCATGCCGTGAATAGCCAATTACAAGGGCTTGCCGTTGTCCAGGTTGGGCGGAACGTGATCGACTGGTATGACTACTGGCACGGGTATCTATATGCAGTTGTTTGTGCAGCACAAGGCCTTCTGAAAGATGGGTGGGGGGAGGAAGTGTTGATATTGGTTGTTTGTCTGTTCGAAACGGGCACCATAGGGCTATTGGGAGATGACGACGATACGGCACTCGAAGTATGGTGCACGTGCTGGCATATTGTGATACTAATAGTGTGCGAAGTTCAGTTGTCGTATTTCTGAGGGAGATATCATAACGTGACTCGAGTACAGTACCGGTACTGTGCTGTATCATAAAATGAGTTGTTGCTGTCGGCGGCCTTACCACAAAAAAAGGCCGATTCCGATGTCGTACTTTACGAACGTTTCCCAGGTCCCATACCGTACAGTAATCGCCTGGGTTGATCCGCATTTTGTGCTCTGAATCAGCCCTGTCTCGCGCAAGGCGTTGTTGGAACACACAGGCGGTTAGATCGCAATGGCACCACATCGATCAACATTGTCTTATTAACGGCTAGTCCAAGTACGGTAATTGCGAACCGTTACGATACCTATTTCCGGTATGCGAATCCTCCCCCAACTAGTCCCTCGATATTGCTATGCTAATACCCCACCTTCCGTAGCCACCGCGAGCCGGTTGGGTGGGTCCGACCTTCAGCCAGCCGTGAAAAAAAAATAGTAACTAAAACCGAATGCACCTCTTTAGCTGAACCCTCCCCCCATTCCGTGCCGGGCATGCGTTCTCTGCAAACAAATATGATACTCGGGGATGTTCCAGAAATACAGGCACTGTACTGTACCCCTCACCCCTCTGGCCTGACCTTCCCTTTTTCTAATAGCGCGACGCTTCTGTGGTGCGATGCTGCTTTAGTGAAGCGAACCGGATACGAATTTGTTTGAAGTGTCTGGCTTCATGGAGTTGGCCATAGAAATCAGCTGGAAAGTTGTCGCAGAAAGAATTGTGAGAGATCGGGTGGGTGATTTGGTCGAACGCGACACAAGATTGTGACATTTTGCAGCACACGGTATCACAATATTACCGTATAGCATCCGAGTATTTGTACCCGGAACTCTGCGATACCCTGTTCGACCTGGGTCAACCTGGGGAGAGCAATACGAGTGAGTTTTTTTCTTCTTTTCCTTTTTTGGTTAGATTCTATCATACCTTCTGGATTCCCGCATACGGAAGATTTACTCGCAGCACGAGACTACTTACCATGAGAGCTCCTTGTTACTGAACCGGTCTGGAGTGGCACTTTTCCAAACCCCTCGAGACCGAGAAAGGATTTTCTTTTTCTTTTTTTGAAAAATCATGAAAGAGAAAAGGAAGGGAGGGAGAGGATGTTGACCCTACCTTATCGATGGCTATTGATTCCATTTGATCGGATTAATTAAGCTCCCTACAATCTGTAATTACCATTTTCCCCGATCTAGATTGCCGTATCTCAAGCCACTATATCGCACCGCCTGCACAATTTCTACCGACGTGCCGTGCACATGGCAGTGCCAGCAACCACCGCATTTTAATTCAGGAACAAAGAAGTCTCATGTACTCGGGTGGGCCGGGGAGGGCTTATGTATCGCCATATTATGTTGTGATTGATTTGCTCCAGGGAGGGGGGCACGGGTGGGAGTTCTCTCTTAGGCACCTTGCTCATAGGTTAACATGATTTCTATAAGTTGCGGGAAACTGATCGGGTTAAAGAAGAAGAAGAAAAAGAATCTATTGTCTTGGATATATCGAATCACACTAAAGAGAGGATGGAAGCCTTTGTGGAATTCGTCGACGATCAAGACAGCTCTAGACCCAATTGGCCGATAAAACCGACAGGATATCGTCATAAAGCTGTTCGGTGGTGTCTCAGATTCCTCGAGGGGTTTTCCTCTCTCTCCCGACTCGCCAAGGCCTTGCACTACTCATCACCACATCACACCCGGTGTTTTAGACGGGTGGATTATCCTTGCTGTTGTCGTTTTTCTGGGCTGAAGGTTTGGGTTGGTCCGCAGAGATTTCCAGTGGATCTGTAAGAGTAGAAATACGCTTTGCGGCAAAGAGGGGATAACAGGGATGTGCCGGGCAGACAGGATGCTCGTTATGGGTGGGGCCTTTGTCTGGCTTGCTCTGGTCTCGCGGGGCTGGGTGCAGTTGCTCTGGTAAGGAAACCAATATAGGACAGCCTGCAATTCCTGACAAAACGAATATCAGGTCCCGCTATGGCACCGGTATCACCTTGGCCTCGTAGCTTCAACAGTAATGAACCGAGGATAGCTATTCCCGCCTCTCCCATCGCAGTCGGTCCTCTATTAACTGATCACATGGCATCACTCGATCACTCCCACCATGGGCTATGATACCACCCGGAACTTTCGGGTGGCCGGGCGTGCGGACAGTGTCGGAATGTGAACCAGATACAAAGGCTCTTCCCGGGGTTACTCTCCAAAATCTCAAAGCTTTACCCGAGCACGTACCGCACTCGTGATCGTATTTCAATTCAAAACTTCTGCACCGTCCGTATCCCCTGCGCCAGACAATCAGCAAGTGCCATACCACCCCCCAATACACTACAGCTCCTGGTTTCGCCCAAAATTCTCGTTCCTGTAGCTAAGGAGTATGTGGCAGGAACTCTCCTGGGCAGTTCGATAACTGCCGGCTTCCTCACTGACTCGGTGGGACATTGTGCTGTGGGTATGACTGCTATAGGAACTCACCCGCAGACCGCGTGGATATTGTCATGCCTGAAAGGTGCCGCGCTCTCGGCGCGGGTAACTTATGGTCATACCAGAGCATCGACCCCCTGCAACAACTATCGTCCGTGTGGCTTCCCGGTACCATGCTCGGATTGTTGAAGAGCCTTCCACCTAGACATTCCAAAGATGCAGCTCCAGGTCAGGAGGTCCAGAAGCTGTGCAGGTGCCCTTGGTGTCTTCTGCTGCTCTATTTGTCTCCACGGGGGAGACAAACTTTTTTACACTTCCTCGCCGAGTTCAATCTCCGCTGCCCAGGTTACATACGTGTGATACCAGAAATACTACATATATTAAAGCATGTTCAGGTGTCGCATTATCCGCTGGCTATATATCACACCCGGAACCGAGGTTTTGGACGATATAATCGCAAGTGCCGATACTAGTGCATTCAGGAAATAAGTATTGCCCCCGTGAAACGGCCGTAGGATGGGCCAAAATTCCCATCCTTTTTTACGGGCGGTTCACGTAAAGATGGGACCTGTGAACTGCAATACCGTAATCCGAGCATCCAAGTACCAGCACTTGTATATATGCCGCACCGCCATAGACGAAGCATCGGTATGCTGCCAGCCGGTAATGTGTGTACTAGTACGGTGGCCTCCCCACATATGTGGGCCATCGGGTGAGATGAGTAAACAAGGAGAGAAGCTGCAGATTTCCCTATTTCGTGATGGGCACCAAATTTTTCTTTTTCTCTCTTCCCACGCTCTTGTTCCCCTACTTCTGGCGCTTTTACCCAACAGCGACAATGGTGGCTCTAACGCCCTAATACAGCGGGCTTTACTTACCTATTTACCCATTCTCCTTACTTTAATTTCTGCCTTGAATTTAAATACCACCAAAATGTCTCCAGACAGCACCTTCCCGTGGAGTACGGCACTGGCATGAAGCCATTGGAATGGTCCAAATATTGGAGACCGCACCATGGAGAGAAATGGTGAAGAAGAAGAAGAAGA